ATTTATCTTCTCATTTCAGGTCATATTTTTCTGCCTTTTTGCCTACTGTAATAATTGAATACTTGATATTGTGAATTTTACATTGTTGAATGTTGAATTTAGTTGTAATACTTTAATGATTACATTAAATAATAAATCCATCATAACTTTTCATGTTGTTCTTCTGTATGTAATGTGTATTTTTCTTTGGCTGCTTTTAAGACCTGAATGTTATGCTTAGTTTTTTAACAGTTTGACTATGATATGTCTATGCCTGGTCCTTGTATTCTTGCTGCATTACTTACAAAGAGACAAATATTTGTACAACTCAGATATCTACGAATTTGAGAATAGACAAATATCCATCAATATAATGGAATGGCATTGAATAACTATGTAGATTATATTGGTACAAGATAAAGTGTATATGAAATAATGTTTAATAAAAGAACAAACTTAACTATACAAATATTTGAAACATGAGAATATTTTTTATTAGAAACATACATTTAAGAGTTATGTAAGCAGTGTATTAAGGTAAAAGTTTCTTTTTCTGAAAATCTGTTTTTCAACACAGCTTTATTGAAATAGAATTAACATACCATACAATTCTCCCATGCAAAGAATACATTTTAAATGTACAATTCTAGCCCTAGCTGGGTGGCTTGGTTGGAGCATAATCTCATTCACCAGAAGGTTACAGGTTTGATTCCTGGTTAGGGGACATACCTAGGTCCCCAGTCAGGGCACCTATGGGAGTCAACCAATCTTTCTCTTTCCTCCCCTCTCTCTTCCTCTCTCTCTTTCCTTTCCTCTCTCTCTAAAATAAACTTAAAAAATATATTCTTGGGTAAAGATAAAAAAAAATCTGTACAATTCTATGGCTTTGAATATATTCCTAGAATTGCACAATCATCACTGCAATCAATCTTAGAATAATCTTATCACTTCAACAAGAAACCCCATATCTATTAACAGCCATTTCCATTTCCCCCAATGTTCTTAGTCCTAAAAAAATCACCCACTACTTAACTTCCTTTCTTGACGGATTTGCCTATTCTGGCATTCTATTGAAATGAAGTCACACAATATCTGGTGGTTTCTTGCTTTCCCCCCCACTTAGCATAATGTTTCAAAGTTCATCCATGTTGTTATCATGTATTTATATTTTATTTCTTCTTATTGTTAAATAATATCCCACTGTTATCATTTTACACTTTTTACACATAATTAACATAATAATAAATAGCTCTGTGTATAAAGCCTTTTTGGGTAGATTCCCTAATATGAAATTAATAATATGGGATCAAAGGAAATAAATATTTTTTCTTGTTGTATTCTGATCTTATTAATCTATTTACCTCAAAAGATTACATAAATAATGTAATTTTACTTTAAATTCCTGAAAACACAAATAAATATGAAAGAAAAAAATCTTTCTGATCACTGCTCTTTCCTATTCCACTCCTTACCCATTGGGCTTGCTCATTTACTTTTTACCCCACAGAGGCACTCATTATCCTGAGTTTGGTACATAGCCTTCCAATTCATTTTTTAAAAGTTTCTCCTTGCTCTCTCTCTGTCTGTATATGCATACGAGTAGATACATACATCTTTAATGGTTTTTAATTACATGTTATTGGAGGTTTATAAATTAATGTGATGCCAGCAACATAGATCTCTATGTGCATTATTAAACAGAACAAAAACTAATTCTATCACTACTACCCTTTCCATCAATATTTATATCATATAAATAAACCATAGTGTAATGGGACCTCTGAATCCCAATAATTGACTCTAATAGCCATCCTAATAATTCATTCCATGCCCCCAAGGTAATACCATATTGTATTTCAGGAGGCTATTTTAATTCCAAGGAAGGTAAACAGGATTAATTTCAAGGAGCTGCAGATTCAATGTAGGGCCAAAGCACTCAGTTTGATTGCAGATTTGGTGATTAACTCATTCTTAAGCTCCAAAACTGCTACCTAAGTTGTTATATAATTGAAGTAGACAATTAAATCAGCCATTTAAAAATGGGACTTTGTGAACGAATCCAAATATTTAACGGATACTCTGCTCATATTTGTTTGAGTATGAGAAAGTATTCTGATTCTTTAAATTTGGGTTTGGAGGAGGTTTGGTTATTGCCCAACATTCAGGGCACGGGTCAGGTTTAACAGGTTTTCCGGCTGCAGGGCAAAACCTAGGTAGCCATGGCTTGTTACCCCAATCTCTTCAATTTTTTCCTCTGGAAAGTAATTATTTCTCTTTATACAAACCACCTGATGGTAATGCATATCATTCACATTTCCCTGTAGTTAGTTGAGTCTGAATTTTGTCATGTTTCCTTGGGCTTTTTTTTTTATTTGTTCAAAATATATTTTTACTGATTTCAGAGATAAAGGGAGAGGGAGAGATAGAAACATCAATGATGAGAGAGAATCATGAATGGGCTGCCTCCTGCACACCCCCCTACTGGGGATCAACACCGAAACCTGGGCATGTGCCCTTGATGGGAATCCAAACCTGAAACCCTTCAGTCTGCAGGCTGACGCTCTATCCACTGAGCCAAACCGGCTGGGGCTCCTGGGCCCTTCCTTTTTAAACTTTGAGGATTAGAAAGTAATTTCAAGGCAAAGCCCATTTGATTGCTTGGGGGATCTTATGAAAAACTAGGGAAAGAACTGAATAATTAAGACCCTGTATTAAATTTATTTTTAAAGTTTCAAAATGTTAGTTCACTCTAAAAAAACACTGTACAGCCTTTGGATCATTCTACCACTGAATCACCTATGCAGTGGTCGGCAAACTACGGCTTAAGAGCCACATGCGGCTCTTTGGCCCCTTGAGGTTTTAACAAAGGCCAGCTTAGGAGTACCCTAATTAAGTTAATAACAATCTACCTACCTATATAGTTTAAGTTTAAAAAACTGTGGCTCGCAAAAGAAATTTCAATCTTCGTACTGTTGGTATTTGGCTCTGTGGACTAATGAGTTTGCCGACCACTGACCTATGCTAAACTATTATATCACCTTTTCAGGCCAAAGCAGTGCTTCTGCTTTTTCAAGCTTGTTGGAGTTACAATTTAGTAGGAGTATCAGGCAGATAGTTACAGCATTTACCTATATATTGGCCCCCTCCCACCCCATCTATCATGGAGAGACCCCCTCAGCAGAAAAAGTTGGGGGTTTGCATAAAATAGCAAGAGAGACATGAGCAGACACTTTGCTGGTGTAGAACCCACACTAGGAGTGTTAGGGCTGGAAAAACCAAGGTGTTCAGTAAATCTAACTTAACTGGCTGCTTCATGATCAGTGTCAGAGGACTGTGCCTGTTTTAGCTCATCATCAGCATCCACAACCCCCTTTCCGCAGACCCATAACCTTAAAAAAAACACCACACCCACCTATTGTAGGTCAAATTCTGGATTTGATGTTTTGTGTATGTTCCTCTCCCTGTTCAACCCTTACAACGCTCTGTGGGGAGTAGGTATTGGTATTACTCCCATTCTTTACATAAAGTTCCAAGCCGTCAGTAGACTGACCAGAAACTAACCATCAGCAATTGGAGAGCCATTTATTATTATTTTTTTTAAATTATATTTTATTATTGATTTTTTTTTTCAGAGAGGAAGGGAGAGGGATAGAAAGCTAGAAACATCGATGAGAGAGAATCATCGATCAGCTACCTCCTGCACACCTCCAACTGGGGATGTGCCCGCAACCAATATACATGCCCTTAACCAGAATCGAACCTGGGACCTTCCAGTCCACAGCCGACGCTCTATCCACTGAACCACACCGGTTGAGGCTTTTATTTTATTTTATTTTTATTTTATTTTTTATTGTCTAAAGTTTTACATATGTCTCCTTTCCCCCAATTGGCCCCCTCTCTCCCCCAGCTATTCCCACCCCGGGCAAGCCCCCACCGCCCCAGTGTCTGTGTCCATTGTGAAATGGCAGGCCTGCCTCCCCTCTTATGCTCAGGGTCTGAGAAGGAGCTGGGTTTAGACAGTGCAGAGGGCAGGGAAGGGGGACATACTGGGCTTTCCCTCCGCCAGGCGATGCTGCCAGGCCGCTGGGTGGCCTTGGGCATGCGGCCCGCAGGGGCAGCCTCACCCAAGGGGAGGTCCCATCCGGACCAGGGGGGCCGCGAGGCCCTGCGCCCCACGTGCTGCAGGGCCCACATGCGGACCCCCTCCCAGCCCCAGGGAGGCTGGAGAGAGCCCGCCTGGCCCTGGCAACTGGGAACTGACGACCACGCCCTCCTGGCTCACTGCCTCCACTCCTGGGCCGCACCGTTCCAGTCCCTGGTAGCTTTTCCAGGTGCAAAACGCCTGCCCCCGCGCCTGCCCCTGCCCCTGCCGCCCCGCCCCAGGGCCCCCCGTGAGGGCACCGGGCAGGGCCCGTTATGCCCCGCTCCCCGGCGCAGGCTCGCCGAGCCCCGCCCTGGCGCGGTGTGCAGCGTGGGGCTCCCACATTCGCTCTAGATCCAGGGCCGGTTTGGTTCAGAATCCACCTCTGGGGTCCCGGAAGGGCGGGTAAGGGGAGAAAGGTGTGCAGCAGCGAGCCGGGGCGCCCCCTCCCCACGCTGGCCCGGAGGCCCGCACCCTCCCGCAGCGCCACTTGCGGCGCCGCCTCCGCGGGGGAAACCGAGCCGCAGCCGCGATCGCGGGCCGGGCCGCGGAGGGGGGTGCAGTCCGGGCTCCCGGGGGACCCTCCCCGCCCCACCCCAGCCCCCTGGGCTCGGCTGCGGGGCGCCCCGCCCCGCCCCTGCCCCTGCCCCGCCCCCGCCCGCCGGCAGGTGAAGCGCGCGGGCGGCGGCTAGGTGCGCGGGGATGATCTCACCCGGAGGAGGAGGAGGAGGGGGAGGAGGAGGGGGAGGAGCAGCGGGAACCCCTCCAGCTTCCGGGTAGGGGAGCCGCACGCCGCCGGCGCCCGCTTTTCCTTCCCCCTCCCCCGCCGCATCCCTGCCTGTCTCCCCTCCGGCCCCTCTCGCCGACCCCACCCGCCGCGATGAACAGCTCGGACGAGGAGAAGCAGCTGCAGCTCATCACGACCCTCAAGGAGCAAGGTGGGCGCGGGCGCCAGGTGCGGCGGCCACGGGCGGGGCCCGGCTCCCGGGCGCGGGGCGGCCGCGTGGGCACCGCGGAGCCCGGCCCCCCGCGGGGAGCACCCTCCGCGCCCCCCGCGCCTCGCGGAGCCCGGGCCCGGGCGGTCCGCGCGCGGGTGCGGGCAGGGCGGGCGCGGCGCTGCGGGGAAGGCGCCCGCCGGTGGCGGTAGCTGGCGAGTCGGGTGTTGGCTGGGGGAAGGGACGAGGATTGGGCTCCCCGGGCCCCCCTGCCGCGCGGGATCGGCGCGCGGGGCTGGGTGTCCCGGGGAGGGGCTGGGTGGTGCGGGCCGCCCGGCTGGCCCGCGCCCCGCCCTCGCCCTCTGGCCCGGGGAGGAGGCCTGCAGCTCGCGCTCCAGCCTTCCCAGCTTTGCAGCCCGCCTGGCTCCATCTAGTTCCTCTTTCTTCACCCGCTGGGATTGTCGGGCGGCGATAGCGTTCGATCACTTCTCGTTTTTTTGGCCACTGATTAGTCAGGGGGACCGTCCGTGGCCTGTGTCCGGCTTCCTGGATTAACCGCGGGGCTCTCCTCGGCTGGCAGGCCAGGCGCGCCCGGGCCATGCATGCTGCCTGGGCATGGGAGATGGCCCCCCTGGCGAAGAACGTGTGAATCCATCCTTTCCGTCTCCCAACCACACTTCTGCACAAAGGCAAATGCATGGGAGCCTAACACTGTTCACAGGGGAAGGTGTGATGACCCTGACCCCAAAGGTGGCCTGAGGGCCTGGGGTCAGGAGAGGGAGGAACCACACAGATGCAGGAAGTAGGGCCATGTAGGGAAATGCGCTTTTCTGATCGGCTTGCTGACACGGCCACTCTGTGGAAGAGCCACAGGGGGCCCCTTCTCTGGGGCTGGTCCTGGGTGGTGAGTCCCAGCTGTTTCACTTCTCTCTGCTGAACTCGCTCACCCACTCCGTGAACTTGGAGCAGGCGGTTTTTTTTTTTTGTTTGTTTGTTTGTTTTTTGTTTTTTTCTTTTCCAGGCGACCTAGGATTCATTCTTACCTGACCAAAGGCCAGAGCTAAAGCAAGTGATTTCCTGAGGTCCTGCCTGGGGCTGTGACCTTGCAGGGATGTGGGAATCCCTCTGGAGCACACGCTCCTGGAAAGATGTCTGTTGACTGTGTGAGCTTGGGGTTGACGGAAATGGTCGGAGCGCCTTCCTCTCTGGTATCGAGAAAATGCTGAGGAAATTCGAGTGGATTTTGCCTTCCCAGTACCTTCAACTCCTATTGTAGGTCAGCTCAAGGTCATAAAGTCACAGGCATCAGTGAATCTGGTGGGTGGGTAAAATTCCTGGAGTGTTTTTAGTGAAGGGCTAGATTCCATGAATATTTTTATTTTTAAAATATATTTTATTTTATTTTTTACAGAGAGGAAGGGAGAGGGATAGAGAGTTAGAAACATGGATGAGCTGCCTCCTGCACACCCCCTACTGGGGATGTGCCCGCAACCAAAGTACATGCCCTTGACCAGAATAGAACCTGGGACCCTTCAGTCTGCAGGCTGATGCTCTATCCACTGAGTCAAACCGGTTAGGGCTCTATGAGTATTTTTAAATTTTCTAATAACAGCCCTCAATAACATAAAGCCTTTTTGAAATTCAAATATAGTTGACATATAATATATTAGTTTCAGATGTATAATGTAGTGATTCAACCTTTATGTATATCTTGTGATAGAATCACAGCGAAAAATCTGGTAACCATCTGCTGTTGGACAAAGTTATTATATTATTGACTATATTCCATTGTTTTCCCATGACTTACTTATTTTATAACTGGAAGTTTGAACCTCATGTTCCCCCGTCACTTTTCACCAGTGGATAGAGCGTCAGCCTGCGGACTGAGGGATCCTGGGTTCGATTCCGGTCAAGGGCATGTACCTTGGTTACGGGCACATCCCCAGTAGGGGGTGTGCAGGAGGCAGCTAATCGATGTTTCTCTCTCATTGATGTTTCTAACTTTCTATCCCTCTCTCTTCCTCTCTGTAAAAAAATCAATAAAAAATATTTTTAAAGAAGACTCTTATTTCAGATTCTAGAGATTACATTATTGTAATATTGGCCATTAGGTACCAGATCTTTTGATGGGTGGTCAGTTTCAAATAAGAAGATAAAAATTGCCATTCCTCCCCCCCCCCCATTCTGTATTTAATTTTAAGATTAGAGTAACAGTGTAGATAACCTGCAAGTTGTTTATATTTGATTTTGGAATGCATTCTCTGTATATTGGATATGAGAGCTGAGAAAAAGGGGGGAGTCTTAACCTTCTGGTTCTTTCTCATGCTGGAAAACAAATGTCATTGGCATTTTTAGAGGATGCATTTCCTTGGTTATGGACATATCAAAGGCAATAAACCAGTTAGAGCTAGAAATTTGTGTTTCTTAAAAGGTACACTTTTATGTTTTTTAGGATGTTGAGTCTGGTTACCCAGGTGTTGGAACTTTTTGCAGCCCACAGTGTGGTTCTTATACCTCTCAGAACCAGGGCATTTGTCTGGCATTGGATCATAGACTGTGCTTACAAGTTTAAGCGTATTTACTAGTGATTGCTGTTTGACCGATGGAACTCACTGAGAAAATAGGGACTTGAGGTGGAAAAACAGGCAACTAGATGTTTTGGCTCTTATATTATAATCAGTGTTGTAAGCTGATGGTGTGTATAATTTATTTTTGAAAATAGAGAGTACTTTGTACCACCTGTCAATAACATTGTGAATAACTCCACTAACCCCTATTTAATGTGAACAAGAACTAGTATCCATCAAATACTTTTATTTTCCCTTTTTAATGCTGAGGAAACACGTTCATTTATTCTTTTAACCAATACTTACGAGGTACCGACCCTATATAAGGACCACGTGCTAGGCATTGGGGGTGGAGTGGGGGGGTGGGCTGGTGAAACCAGTCTTTGCTCTCACCAAGTTTATTGTCTGGTAGACAGTCCTTCATAGAATAATCATATAAATAAAATTGTACAATTACAAATATTTTTTCTAGGATAAATTCTTAGAAATGGACTCATTGGGTTAAAAGGTATGAACACATAAGGTTTTTCTGGCCATTGCAAAATGCTCCCCCAAATGGCTCTATCCCTGCCACATCCCTCCACCCCCAGCAGTATCCATGACACCACACACTGGTCAACATTGACCAACAGCACTCTTTATTCATTTTGACAGCCTGACAAGTTTCTTAATTTCGCCAATCTAATGAACAAAAAATGATACCTTTAGAGAGATCTGTATTATGTGGTTATTAGTGAAGTTTGAAATCTTTCTACATGTTTATCAACCATTGAGGTTTAATTGTATTGTTCCTTCTTCTTGAATTTTAAGTCTGAAATTTGAACCCAATCCCCAGAAGGGAGCTCAGACACAAGGATGCTATCCACTCTGAGTGGCAGGGCTGACAGCCGCCTTCCCTAATGTGAAGCCTTCAGCGGTGTGGTGAATAAGGTTGCTTTTGACAAAAGTTGTGAAATGTAATGACGGAGTCTGTCATAATATGAACAATCCCTAATTTATACTTACCATTCCCTAAGCTCATGTCTTATAAATCACACCCACTTCTGAATTACTTCAAAACATTGTATGTTCCCTTCTAGTGAATGGTATAATTAGCCATATTATGTCTTTCCAGAAAGTTATATTATGTCCTTTAAAAAAAAAATTAGCCAGTGTGCGATAGCTTATGTGCAAGCAGATGTTGAGGTAATGAGGTAATTCTCCTTTTGTCTTTTGGGGGGCTTTATTTTATTGGACTGATTGACATCTCTAATGTACTGAGAGATGGCAACTTGGGATACTATTTCCAATGCATATTTCCCAGCTACTAAAGTGGACATTTCCCTTACAAAAAGATCATACAATTTGCTCCCATTCCAGAATTCTGTTGGGAAATGACAGACTTAGCTTAGCATTTGTTTAAGGTACATGATTTTCTCTGTAATTTATTCAAACCCACATGCACTGAATATTCATAGCCAGGCACGGTGCTAGGCATCAGAGATGCAGAGATGGATAAAACCTTGTCCCTCCTGGTGAGGAATTCCTACTCTGGAGATGGTGGTAGGCCTGTACATTACAGGAAGAATGTCTAATGGGCATAGTTTGGGTCATGGGTTTAAGTCCTTTGGCCAGGGGAGGGTGGAGCACTTTGATTGGCAAAGACCAATGGATTGGAGTAGTTGTCCAAAAGAGAATGGCGTGCCACTACCAGAAGGGGGAGGATGAAGGTTGGACCAGCACAAACGATGGTTGTCCGCTAAACTGGTCAACATAGTAATGTGTCCTTTGGAACTTGTTGAGGAAGTTGTGAAGAGAGTGGTTGTCACTTAACCATAAGGCTGTTCTAACATAATAATGCCAAAACAACAACCAGCCACCCCAAAGTCCTGGGCTCTTCTTGAGCTAACACTATTTAAAATGGATTTTCTATGCTCAGATGATTGGTTTTAAAGCAAGGTAACCGCCTTTCATCTTTACTGACTATCATATTCCTCAAGATTATTGAGAGAGTGCTTAAGGTTCAGATGAAAATCTAGTCAGACTTATTCTTAGAGCTGAGCTAGCCATGGGTTAGGAAGCATACATCTATTTCCTTGCTCTGTCAGCTGAGAGCCCAGAAGAACACATCTAACTCCAGAACATGGCTTATACCATTCTCTGAGGAAAGGAACAAGAGTCCTGGGAGAAATGGCTGATTCTAGAACGGGGGTGACTGGGACAGGAAGTACACAAGATGAGTCTGGAGCATCTTGTACCAGAAACTGAGGAAGTGCTCAAACACATGAGCCCACAGTCATGGGGGTATATCAAAAGATACAAAAAACTTCCTCATTGATGTTTCTCTCTCTCTCTCTCACCCCCCCTCCTCTTCCTTCAAATTGGCCAATCTTGGGACAATTGGAATATTGGATTATAACCCAAAGTATAAAATAGTCATGAGTCCATAATAAAGGG